CTTCAGTTTCAGTTTCAATTTGCAAAGATGTACAGCCCCAGAAATCCAAGATATAGGACAGAGTAGAACTGCCCAAGAGTATTTGCAAGTCTGTAATTTTGGAAGCCTACTGCCACATCTTCTCCCAAAGAACAGCTGGTGGGTTTGGATCACCCAATTTTTGATCAGTGCTCATCACTTCAGAGACTTTGATTTCTGTTGAAGATAGATGAATTTCTCCCTTTTTGTGTTGTTTATCTAGTTCTATTAAGCCAACAGACTTTACTAAGGTATTTGATTACTTTTATGTCATATTTATTACAGCTTACTCTGAATATATCTTTTACTTGAAACTTCATTCAATATTTTTTCAGTATGATTCTTTATGTTATAAAACTTTTGAACCCTTTTAAATTTTATAATGCCCTTGAGTTGGAATGAAAGTTTAGCTGGATATAAAATTCTAAGCTCTAAATTAATATCATTGAATATTTGGAAAACTATTCCTTTGCCCTTTTTTTTTTGCATCTAGTGTTGCTTTTGGAACCCTGGGGGCATAGTGGGTTACCCACCTTGGGGGTACTAACTGCATCGTCAGCAATTCTAGCCCACAGGAGAGTTGTGGGATGACATCAAGAACATCATACATGCAGAAAGCAAAAAGTCATTGAGAAGACAAGAAAGAAGAAAAGGGTCAAAATGGATGTCAGAAGAGACACTGAAACTTGCTCTCCAGAGTAGAGATGCTAAAGCAAATGGAAGAAATGAGGAGGTCCAAGAGCTGAACAGAAAATTTCAAAGATCAGCTTGAGAAGATAAAGCCAAATATTACAACAAAATGTGCAAAGATCTGGAATCAGAAAACCAAAAAGGAAGAACATGCTCAGCATTTCTCAAGCTGGGGGAACTGAAGTAAAAATTCAAGCCTCAACTTTCATTATCGAAAGAGTCACTGGCCAAATTATTGAATGATGCAGAAAGCATCAAGAGAAGATGGAAGGAATACACAGAGTCACTGTACCAAAAGGAAATGGTTAGTGTTCAACTGTTTCAAGAGGTAGCATATGATAAAGAGCCAATGATCCTGAAGGAGGAAGTCCAAGATGCATTGAAGGAACTGACGGAATACAAACTGAAATCTTTCAAGAAAGTCAGGTGGCACAGGAGGTACTCACTCATTTCTGCCAAGAAATTTGGAAGACAACTATCTGGCCGACTGATTGGAAGAGATCCATATTTGTGGCCATTCCAAAGAGAGGTGACCCAACGGAATGCGGAAATCATCGGACAATGTCTTTGATATCCCATGCGAGTAAAGTTTTGCTGTAGGCAATACTGAAACGGCTACAATCATACACTGACAGAGAAATTCCAGACGTTCAAGCTGGATTCAGAAGAGGCCATAAAATAAGGGATATCATTGCTGATGTACGATGGATCTTGGCTGAAAGCAGAGAATATCAGAAAGATGTTTACATGTGCTTTATTGAGTATGCAAAGGCTTTTGATTGTGTGGATCATGACAAGCTATGGACAACATTTTGAAGTATGAGTACTCCGGAACACTTAATTGTGCTCATGAGGAATCTGTACATGGACCAAGAAGCAGTTGTTTGAACATGGGAACACTGAATGGTTTAAAATTTTAAAAAAGGTGTGTGACAACGTTGTATTCTTTGACCATACTTATTCAACCTATATGCTGAGCAAATAATCCAAGAAGCTGGGTTACATGAAGAAAAACGTGGCATCGATTGGAGGAAGACTCATTAATAATCTGCGATATGCAGATTATACAACCTTGCTTGCTTGGATGCCAAGATGGCCAAACTTTTGTCTCTCATAATTTGGACATATTGTCAGGAGGGACCAGTCACTGGAGAAGGATATCATGTTTGGTAAGGTGGAGGGTGAGAGAAAAAGAGGAAGACCCCCAACAAGATGGACTGACCAAGTGGCAGCATCAATGGACTCAAGTGTGGCAACAGTAGTGAGATTGGACCAGGATCGGGCAGTGTTTCGTTCCGCTGTGCATAAGATTTCTATGGGTTGGTACCGACTCGATGGCACCTAACAACAACAAAATGTCTTTATGGGAGTAGAAAGCCTAATGTCTCTCAAGGACTGCCACAAGGACACGAACTGCTGACCTTGCAGTTAGCAACGCAAAAAGTAAACCACGATATGCCACCAATTTTTGTGTGTGTGTATGAATTTAGTGATAGTTTACATGGGAGAACATAAATTTTACACTCATTTTATAGTATTTTGTTTCACTGCAACGAGTACAGCAAATCATCATTTAAGTGTTTGCTTCTATTCCCTGTTTTTTTGATGTACACAGAAACACTCAGAAATATATAATCCTTTAAGCAACCAAAGGGCACATTCTGTAAGCCTGCCTCCAGGCCGCCATCACACAACCTTTCTCTTTCCATGAGTCTAGTGCCCTCAGATGCTCTCTCTCTTCATATGTCACCAATTCTTATTAGTTAGAAATTGGATTAATAGCAACATGTTTGGTTTTTGGTTTAGACAATCGAAACATGATGGGGACTGGAGTCGGGGTAAGAAAAAATAGACCAAGGGATTGGAGAGCATGCTAAAGTTCTAATACTATTAGCTGTTATTGTTCTAGTGAAGAGTTGTAAATAGAAAAGGACTCCTGATAGCATACTGGGTTAAAGGATGGCCTGCGACCCTGGAGGTCATGTACAAAATACCTAAAATTGTATGGCAATGCAAATATTACATATATCAAAAGCTGTGATGAGTAAAGTAATGCTTCAAGGGAAATTTATTAGGAAACAGATCCTATCAAGGAGTCCTGGTATGGTGCTGTAGGGTTAAGCACAGGACCTCAAGGTCGGTTTGAACCACAAGGTCAGCAGTTCAAACTCACCAGCTGCTCCATGGAAACCCTATGCTGGGTTGCTATGAGTCAGAACAGATGCAACAGCACTTAACAGCATAACAACAAAATACTTACTTATACTTTAAGGAAGTTTTTTCAAATGCAGACAAAACAACATCCAATTCCATGAGGTCACTGGTTTTCTTTCCCTCTGCACACCAAATAATTACATGATCGGAAATGTCACTATCTAGAATATTAAAACAAGTCAAATTTTACGTAGATATTATTAACAGTTTGGTTCTAGAACAGGTCTTGACAGCCTAAAACAAAAACAATCCCACCAAACTGCTAAAGATAACTATAGTGGGAAGAAGCTTATGAGAGGGCCTACACTCAACGGCTTCTCACCACAGTACAGTCTCACAAGCTCCTATCTTCTCTTGTCAGTCTAACTGCTGTTTCCTCAGCTCTCCTACCATCCCCCGCTGAAGCTGTCCAAAACGCTGCCGTCTTTTACTTACTTTGGACTTTTGGTGTGACATTGTAGAATAAGTACAGGACCCACAAGGTCAGTTTAACCTGCAAGGTCGGTGGTCAAACTCACCAGTGGTTCCTCAAGGACCCTACACAGGGTTGCTATGAGTCAGAACCGACTCCAAGGCACTCAACAACAACAACAACAACAATTCTTACTTAATACTTTCAACCTAATGAGCATTTCACTTTCAACGATAGAGTTTATCTCTAATTCATACCAACTTGAATCAATTCCTGGATGTGGTGGGTTAATCACAGCCATAAATTCGTTGCCACTCTTCCCTATCCCCTTTTCCACTTGAATCTGGGAAAGTAAAAGTGATCAAAAACCTTAGCAAAGTTTGTTGTCTTAAAACAACTACAGAGACAACACAAAAATGAGGAAATGCATTTATCTTAAACCAGACATAAAAGTCCCTGCAGTGACTAAGTCCTCTGCTGACCAAAAGTTGGTAATCCAAACCCAACAGCTGTTCTTCAGGAGGAAGATGTGGCAATTGGCTTTCTAATACTAGAATATCATGGAGTGATGCTGAACAAATTCCAAGGCCAGGTTTTTGCCTCTTTCAAAATGCTCTCACTTAGAACTCAGCTGTTACGTGAGATTCTGACTTTCAATCCACAAGGAAGCCCACACGGGTTCCCTTGTGGATTGGAAGTCAGAAGATAGAAGTCAGATGTAGGAGCACCAAGAAATCAGACATATGAATAGAGCCTTCAACTGAGTATTTCCAAATGAGCAGAATCAAAATTTTAAATCAATAAAGTGGCTGTTTTTTAAAAATTTGCATTATCAATATTTTAGGTTTTGTGGGCCAACTACTCAACTCTACCGCAGAAACATATATGCAGTCATAGAAAAAAATACTTCATAAGATGACTTGTTAGGTGCCAACAAGTCGGTTCTGACTCATAGTGACCTAATGCACAACAAAATGAAGCAGTGCCGTCCTGCACCATCCTTACTATGAGTCCACTGCTGCTGCCACTGTGCCAATCCATCTCATTGGGGGGGGTCATCCCATTTTTCTCTGACCCTCCACTTTACTAAGCCTGATGACCAAGCCAGGGATTGGTCCCTCCTGATAACATGTCTGAAAGTATGAGGGTCTCGCCATCCTGACTTCTCAGGAGCATTGTGGATGTACTTCTTCCAAAACAGTTTTGTTAGTTCTTCTGGCAATCCATGATACATTTAAATATTCTTTTCCAATACTGTAACTCAAATGCATCAGTTCTTCTATGGTCTTCCTCATTCATTGTCCAACTTTTACATGCATATAGGGCTATTGAAAATACCATGGTTTGGGTCAGGTGACAACTTAGTCATCACAGTGACATCTTTGCTCTTGAATACTTCAAAGCGGTCTTGTGCAGATTTGTTAATGCAATATGTTGTTTGATTTCTTAACTGCTGCTAAAATGGCCGGTATATAGTAAATATTCCAATGTTTTTGCTACCATTATTTTGTAAAACAAAAACACAGGAACAATAGTTAGAAGGTATGGATTGGCTTGGAAGGGGCATGAGAGAAATTTCTGAAAAGGAGTCTATAGTTTGATAGGGGTGTGAGTTATATTTGCGTTTCTCAGCACTCAACTAATGTCCACTTAAAATCTGGGTCCTTAAGTGGATGGAAAGCATACATACTGTATGTCCTGTAACCAACACTTTAGTCCAGTTACTGATATGCATGCTGAGTTAATTAAAAGGAAGTGCATTCATGTCTGCAATTTATCTTAAAATGCACCAAAAAATTTTAATGGATAATAGATGGATGTTAATGTGGTAAGTGCCATCAAATTGGTTCTGACTCATAGAGATCCTGTTTAGGGTTTCCAAGGGATGGCTGATGGATTTGAACCACAAACCTTGCAACTAGTAGTCCAGTGCTTATCCAACAGTGCCACACTAGGACTCCACTGGATGGATAAGTAGGGAATAAACCAAGTGTAATAAGATGTTAAAAGTGAAATCTAGGTGGTGGATATAAAACACTGGGGGGCAGGGGAATCAATTACTCCAAAGCACCACATTCCTAATTCTTAAAAGTGGCACTTTTACATATTTATAATTTACTACAGAAACAAATTAAAACACAGATTTTTATTTTAAAAAATGAAGTTCCTAAATCAGTAAAAATAAGTATAAAACATCATTCTATACCTGAGGAGTCTAGATTTTTACTTCTTGATGTCTTCTCTTTGCCATGAGATATCTTCTTCCTTTTCTGGACTTTCTACCATGGGGGAAAAAAAGTAGCATAGGTTTTTAAAAATGTTTTATTGTGAATTATGTGATAGTTTACATGGGAGAACATTAGTTTTACATTCATCCTATCATATATCATTTCATTGCTATGGTTACAATCCCCTCTATGCATTATCAACCAACCAAAGCCTGCCCTCTGGTCGTCAGCACACAGTCCCTTCTCCCTCTCTGAGTCTAAAGTCCCCAGCTGCTCCATCTCTCCATGTCATCCATCATCTCTGCCTCCATCTCAGGCATCACTGCTTCTCTGGGTAGGGTCCCGCTCTCCGCTCTTCTCCGTTGATGGTCCTAGGGACCTCCATTTCTAGGCTGAAAAGTTAATCACTCCCCTCCATGCTACAAAATGTCTACCTTTACATTTCCAACCCTCACAAGCAGTCCTGATAATAATTATTCACTATTGTATCACAAGAAATGACCCAGTAGCATAAGTTTTTGAGAAAAACTTTTTCTTAAAATATAAGGATTAGGATGATGGTATTACCAAATACTGTCCATACTTCTGCTGTAATTCTCATTTACTTTTGATGACTATATTAGTTGATTGTTTAGTTAATGTATAAAAAATGTTTACGTGGAAGGAAGCTGAACTTTTATATTTAAGTTCTGCTCCCAAGAATGATGAAGTAACAGCTTCTAGACCTGTTCTCTTGGCAAAAAACGTAAAATTGGGTGCATGATGGTTAATTTTATATGTAACTTGGCTACGCTTTTGGTCTTCAGTTGTTCAAACGCGTCTATATACGGCTTTAAAGGTTATTTACACATGATTAACATTTATAATCAGTTGTCTGTAATTAAGGCAGATTGACTCTTGGTGTGGTGCTGGAGATTGGCACTGGACTGTGTATCAAAAGGTCCACAGTTCAAACCACCAGGTGTGCCTTGGAAACCCTATAAAGGGCCTCTATGAGTTGGAACGGACTCTAGGGCACATAACAACAACAACCCTCCATGATATGAGTGAGCTTTATTCAATCAGTTAAAGGCCTTCATGAGCCATAACTGAGGTTTTCCCAAGAAAATGGATTCTACCACAAGACTGATAAAGATATCCTGCTGGAGGGTCTGGTCTGCTAGGTCCACAGAATTCAGGCTCGAGACTGCTGGAGTTTTCAGCCTTCCATAGGACTTTGGTCTTGCTGGTCCCCACAATCATATGAACCAATCCCTTAAAACAAATCCTTTATCTCACGAAACCCTCTCTAGCGAGACTCAGAGCCACTCTTTAAAAAGATGCACCAGGGAGACAGAGACTGAAGGTTGTAGTAGCAGAATTCTAAGATGACCACCAATGACTTGTATACTCTCCTCCCTTTGTGTGTGGGTGGCTCTGTCAGAGTAATGAGATAGTTCCCCTTGATGACTGTTGCTGTTTGGAGCCAATGAGCTGGTTCGGACTCAGAGCGACCCTATGCACAACAGAGTTTACCAGGGCCCGGTCCTGCACCGTCCTCACAATTGTTACCTTTGAACCCACTGTGGTTGCTATTGTGCCAGTCCATCTTGTTGGAGCGTCCTCTTTTTCGTTGACACCCCCCCCCCCCCAAAGTTTTGCAAGCATGATCTCCTTCTCCAAGGACTGGTACTTGCAGACAATATGTCCTCCTGATTAACTAATACTAAGTAAGAGTTCGTTGTGGCCGAGTTGAGATTTTACTGTTGGCTTTGAAGTTGTGAGAGGGCCACCTGGCTGGGACTTGAAGGCAACCTCTAAGAAACGAGAGTGACCTCCAAGTGACGGGAGAAAACAGGGACCTCAGTCCTACAACTGAGGGGAACTGAATTCTACTAACAACCTGAGCAAGCTTATAGGATGACCCCGAGTCTCAGATAAGATTTCAGCCTTCAGAAACCTTGAACAGAGAATCTAGCTCGACTTGGAATTCTTACCTTAAAAAAAAAAAAAAAGTGAGATAATGGTGTTTTAAGCCATGAAGTTTGTGATAATTTTTATGCGGCAAGTGAAAACTAATACAGAGGCTGATACCCGCTGAGCCAGAGAGGCTGTCAAACAAGCATTCTAGGCTTTCTATGCATTGACCCTTGTTGTTGTTAAGTACCGTGGAGTCGGTTCTGACTCACAATGACCCTACACAGGGTTTCCAAGGCTGTAAAAATCTTTATGGGAGCAGAATGCCTCATCTTTCTCCCGCAGAACCTAGCAAAGGGTAAAACCAAGCCTACAGAAGTTTAAGATGACCAGCCAATATTCAAACTACCATTATTCACATAATTAACATTAAGAATGTTACAAAGGAAAATGTCACCCACAGTCAAGGAGAAAAAGCAGTCAATAGTTACTGACACCAAATGGTCCCCATCTTTGATTTAGGAAACAAAGACTATAAAAGCAGCTATTATAAATGTGTTCAAAGAAGTCAAGGACTCAGGAGAAAGTCCTGGTGATCTACTTATGAAGCACTGGAACTCATATGTGGTCATCAAGGCTCAGGATTGCCTTGATGGCAATTTTTTTTTTACGTCATTCCAATGTGCTGCCAAAGCTGAGAACCAACTGACTGGAGTTTAGACCCAGGTGCTTGAATTTTCTGGAAAGTCTGCTGATGTGGGTTCCACAGGACTAACTATCAAATCAAGAATCCACAGAATTCTAAGACACAAAGACATCAGTATCAAGTCGCAGAACCTGCAGACTCAAAAATTCTAAGACACAAAGACCTCAGCATCAAGTTCAAACCCTACAAAGACTGACCAACTTGATTATCCAAATACTGGAGGGGAGAGGGTCTACCCAGTAGTTGCAAAGGAAAGGAAATTCAGAACAGATAGCCTTTTCTCATTTCTAAGCTTGGGCTCCTGGTGTAGCCCTGTAGGAGCAGCACTGCACTGTGAACCACAAGATCAGCAATTCAAACCCAACAGCTGCTCCTTGGAAAGCAGATACAGGATCACTATGAGTTGGAACTGACTCAATGACACTTAACAATAAGCTTATTCTCCACCACTCATCTGTCAGTTTGTCATACTGTGGTGGCTTTTGTGTCGTTGCGATGTTGGAAGCTATACCACCAGTATTTTAGTTACCAGCAGATTTACCCATGGTGGAGAGGTTTCAGCTGAATTTCCAGACTAAGAGAAACTAGGAAGGAGACGCCGACCACTTCTGAAAGGTTACCCACTGAATGAATACCTTATGAATAGAAGCATAACAATGTCAGGTACCATGCCTGAAGATGAAGCTGGAAGGCACTGGAAAGGAACTGCCTCCTCAAAATAGAGTTGACCTTAATGACATGGATGGAGGTTAAACTTTCAGGACCTTTAATTGCTGATATGGTACAACTCAAAATGAGAAGGCATAGCTGCAAATATCCATTAACTATCTGTAAGTAGATATTTGTACCTGTAAGTATTAAGTATGAATCTATGAAAATTGGAAGTTGTCAAAAATGAAAAGAAATGCATAAAGATCAATATCCTAGGCATTAGTGAGGTAAAATGGACTGGCATGGGCCATTTTGAATCAATCATTCAAATGGCTTACTATGCTGGGAATGACTAACTGAAGAGGAATGGCGTTACTTCATTGTCCCTAAACAAAAACAAAAACATTTCAAGATCTATCTAAAATCTTGAAAGACAATGTTATTTGTGATAGGATAATATCAAAAAACCTACAAGGAAGACCAGTTAATACTAGTATTATTCAAATTTACATAACCAGTTACTAAAGACAGTAATAATTAAACAATTCTACCAACTTCTTCAGTCTGATATTGATCAAACATGCAGTTAAATAATTACTGGTGACTGGAATGTGAAAGTTGGAAACAAAGAGGAAGGATCTGTGGTTGGAAAACATGGCATTCCTGATGGAAACAATACTGCCGATCAAGCTGGAAGGCACTGGGGAAGAGCTACTTCCTCAAAATAGAGTTGACCTTTTTTGAGGTCAACTGATGGAGAAAAGACCAAAGTTGCCAAAGACCTTCAATTTGCTTGGATCCACAATCAATGCTCATGGACGCAGAGTCAAGAAATCAAATCATGTATTGCATTAGGCAAATCTGCTGCACAAGACCTCTTTTAAAGTGTTCAAGGGCAAAGATGTCAGTTTGAGGACTAAAGTACATCTAACCTAAGCTATGGTATTTTCAATCACCTTGTAGGCATGTGAAAGCTGAACAATGACTAAGAACACCATAGCAGAATCAATGCATCTAAATTATGGTGCTGGAGAAAAACACTGAAAGTATCACGGACTGCTAGATAAACAAAACAAATCTGTGTTCACAGAAGTACCATCAGAATGCTTCTTAGAAGTCAGGATAGTGAGACTTCATCTCTCATACTTTGAACATATTATTCAAAGGGATCAGTCACTAGAGAAGGACATCATGCTAGGTAAAGTGAAGGGAAAAGGAAAGAAAGAAATGCTACTTACCTGATTTGGATACAAAATATTCTTGTTGTATAATTTCTTGGAAATTGTTATTTCGTTGCAGTCAAGGATAAAGCACTTGACCACAAGGTCGGTTTGAACCACAAGGTTGGTGGTTCAAACTCATTGGCTGCTTACTGGAAACGCCATACAGGGATGCTATGAGTTGGCATCAACTTGACAGCCGTTAACAACAACATGGACTGATATTGGGGAGGCCGGGGGCTCCATACAATAAGCACTAGACTGCGCACCACAAGGTTGGCAGTTTGAGCCCACCAGCCAGCCGGGAGAAAGATATGGCCTTCTGCTCCTGCAGATACAAAATCTCAGAAACTCTACAGCTTGGATCCAAGTCAATGGCACTTAACAACAGTGCATCAGTATTAGAGGTTATAATGTAATTGAAGACATACAAAGAAAAACGGGGCATCAGAACTGCAGGAGGCCTCATTAAAAACCTGTGATATGCAATGATATACCTTCTGATAAAGATCAAGGACCATATAACCTTCAGTATGGATTACACCTCAATGTAAAAACAACAACCACAAAAACCCTCACAACTAGACCAGTATATAAACAGAGAAAAGTATGAAGTTGTCAAAGACTTCATTTGACTTGCATCCGCAATCAATGCTTAAAAGCAGCAGTTGAGAAATCAAAAGACGCGTTTCATTAAGCAAATTTGTTGCAAAATACCTCTTTAAAGAATTCTAGAGCAAAGACTGCAGTTGAGGACTAAGGTGTGTCCAGCCCAAACCATGGTATCATTAATTGCCTCATATGCATGTGAAAGGTGGACAACGAATAAGAAAGACTACAAGAACTTATGAATATTTAAAGTACTGTGGGTTGCCAGTACAACATATAAATCTATCTTGGAAGAAGTACACCCAGAATGCTCCTTAGAAATGAGGCTAGTGAGATTTCATTTCTTGTACTTTGGACATGCTGTCATGAAGGACCAGTCCCTGGAGAAGGACATTATGCTTGGTAAAGTGAAGTAAAGAGTCAGCAAAAAAGAGAAAGATCCCGACCCCTAAGGAGATGGAATGATACAATGGTAGCAACAATGGGCTCAAACATAACAATTGTGAGGATGGGACAGAACTGGGTAGTTCCCTTCGGCTATGCATAGGGCTGCAATGAGTGGGAACCAATCTGACAGTACCTAGCAACTACAATGTAACTGAAAATTAACAGTAACAACTTTATTTTAGAAAACATTTACACAATACCTTTCTTCCTTTGCTAAATGATAGGTTTTAACATTGTACAGTTTTGCAATGATAAAAGCAATTATTTGTACAAATGAAAAGATTCTACTTTACATGGTTTAAACTGATCAGAACATAATTGTAACTATTAAAAAGAAAGGAAATTCTAGAACTGAAAAGTACAGAACTGAAAAAAAGCCACTGATTGGTGTACTAAGTTTCCTGTGGCTTCTGTAGCAAACTATTACAAGCTTGGTGGCTCACAACAAGAAAAATGTATGGTGCCACAGGTCTGGAGATCAGCTGTCCATTATCAGTTTCAGAGGGCCACAATTAAGGCGCCAACAGGACCACACTCCCTAAGGGGCCTCTAGAAGAAAGTCTGGCAATGTCACTCCTTGGTTTGTGGCCCCATCACACCAAACTTTAACACCTTTGTCGTCACATGGTTTTCTCTTCCGTGTCTGTCTAACCTCTCTCCTCCTCTTTTACCAGGGTGCTTGTAGTGACATTTAGGGCCCACCCATATTGTGTGGCGCTGTGGGTTAATGAACCAGACTGCAAAGCCATTAAAACTGCAAGGTCGGCGGTTCAAGCTCACCAGTTGCTCCTCAGAAACCCTATACAGGGTCGCTATGGGTCGGAATCAACTTGACAGCACTTAACAACAACAACATATTGTCAGGAGGGACCAGTCCCTGGTAGAGTGTTTGGTAGGGTGGAGGGTCAAAGACAAAGAGGGAGAACCCCAACGAGATGGACTGGCCAACTGGCAGCATCGATGTACTCAAACGTGGCAATAGTGATGTTGGCCCAGGATCGGGCAGTGTTTCTTCTGCTGTGCATAGGGTCACTACTGAGTCGGTACCAACTCCATGGCACCTAACAACAACAACCCAACTCAGGAAAATTTTCTTATCTCAAGATATTTAATCATATCCACAAAGACCCTTTTCCCAAACTAACATTTATAGATTCTAGGAATTAGGATGTGGACCTATCTTGAGGGTGTGAGGGGAGTCACCCTTTATCCCACTATAGCTTAAAAGATAGTAAATGACAAATTTATCTCTTGAAAAGTACTGAAAGTGAGAAAATGCCCCAAACATTTGTAAATAAACTTTTTTCTCTTCCCCTCTGCGAAAGGATGGCAGATACTCTCTTACCTGCTGCCTTTTTGTTGCACAGGTCTCCTTTTCAACAGAAGATGGAGCATTAAGGTGTCCTGTTTTTTTAGGAGTGACTGATTTAGCTGGTTTCCCTGAGAGTTCTGAAGACACTGTAGCCGGAATAGCTTTATGCTGTTGTGTACTTGTTTTATCTTTTGTTGCATATTGTTTATCTGGTTTTGCCACATCACTACTTTGTCTGCTTTCACGGTCATCAGTAACAAGCTTGAGGTTTCCTCCTACCTGTATCAATAAAATGGCATTACGGGCTTAGAAAATGCAAATCCTTATAATTCTTAATGCAATAGCAAATAACGGAAAAGTCCACACTTCTCATTTCTAAACCTGTACAATTAAACTGATAGGAACATAATCTTCCTATTATGAAGATGAAAACATGACTAATGTATAGGAAGGAAAATCTAGATTAAGAAACTCCACATAAATATTCCCAACAGTTCACTCTGCCTTTGTAAATTCCAACCTTACCATAATAAGAATCTGCTATGAAAATTGAGAAGGCACAGAGAGCTTTGAGACCTCCTCAGTGAGAACACAGATGTAAAATATTTCCCTTTTTATTATCCAAGTATTTTCTTCTAATACATCATAATACTTCTCTGAAAAATGCCACCACGGAACACTTTCTCTACTTGTGTCTAAACAAGGTATGAATTATCTTAGAAATTAAGAGAACAGAGAACATTTCTACATACCTCTTGTGCATTATTTTTTACAGATTCACTTTGATTTGCTTCATTTTCGGAAATGTTCAAACTGTACAAAAAACAAGACATTAATATCTTGCACGTAGTACATTTTTTACTCACAAATGTCTACTATAAGTGCTTGTCGAAGATAATAATAGATGCAATTTAATGAAGAGATTCTGTACTTGTGGTAGGCAGCCTGCACCTGCCCAGCTTTACTGGCTGTCTCCACTATCTTCCCAAACCCAATCAGCATGGTTTCTCCTGTCCCATTCCTGCAGCACCTTGTGGTCATCTTGGAGACCGGCACTTTTCTTAAAGCAAGTTACAGGCTGACACTTGTACTAAAAGCCAATCTGCAGTCAAAGCTTATTATAGTTGTTTTAGTTGCCCACAAATAAATTCTAACTCGTGGCAACCCCAAATGTGCAAAGAACTGCTCCACAGGGTTTTCAAGGATGTGACTTTTCCAAAGATCACCAGGTCTGTGTTCGTAGGTACTTCTGGGTTGGTTCAGATCACCAACCTTTTGGCTAGTAGTTGAGCGTTTAAACATGTGTGCCACCCAGGGACTCCTGAAGTGTATCATTAGATGACAATCAAAGGAATAGTGTCAAAATGTAACCCTAATTTCTGATGGGTTATGAGAGTTCTTTCATCTTTTCATTCAACTTAGTACAAGCGTTTATTTAACACCAACCTGACAATGCCAAATGTGCTGAATATATTACTTTAAAAATGGGTTCATTGTCTAGTAGGAAGACCAAAAGACAGTGCAGAGTGTTGACTCAGTAGGCATTTGACAGAGATGATGCGGCTGCCTGACTGGGGTGCAGGGCTGGATCGTGGTTATGATAATTGAGCTAGCTTTTGGCACTACTTTTCCAGGCACAGAAGTGGACAAGAGCGTACTTAAGTAGAAGGAAAAGCCAATGTCAAACCATGGTGGTATAATATAGCCTGCATTTTCAAAGGACTTGAAATAAGGCACAGATCAGAATGTACTGTTCAAGACAAGATTATGTTGTTGTTATTAAGTGCCACGGAGTCAGTACCAGTTCACAGTGACCCTGTATAGGGTTTCAGAAGATTGGCTTACTTCTTCTTTACCTAGCATGATGTCTTTGGCCAGGGACTGACTCTTCTTGAAAATGTGTCCCAAGTATGTGAGATGAAGTGTCACCATCTTTTAAGGATCATTCTGGTTGCACTTCTTTCAAGTTAAATTTGCTCCTCCTTCTGGCAGTCCACAGTACATTTTATATTCTTCATCAACACCGTAATTCGAAGGCATTCATTCTTCATTCATCCTTATTCACTATCCAGCTTTCGCATGCACATGAGGCAATTGGAAATACCAGCCTGTGTCAGGGACACCTTAGTCGTCAAAGTGACATCTTTGTTCTTTAACACTTTAAAAAGGTCTTTTGTAGCAGATCACAGATGTTAACCCTTAATAAACCTCGCCTTCTAACTCTACTAGAAGAATGTTCTTCATTTCTGGGTCTTTGCCCTCTATTTTCTTTTTGCTCTTAACCCTCTGCTCCCCAGTAACCCCATCTCCAAGCTTACATCCATGGTTTAAACTACCTAGTGTCGTCACTGCTTCCCAAGTCTTTCTCTTGTTCAGCCTTCCTCTTGAATCCCAGGATGTCCTGCCTGCTGGTCACAATACCCTCAACGCTCATAGATGCGCCTTGGACACCCAACAGAAGCAAAGCTGAGCTCAGTCCTTTTCTCCTTCGTCCACTGCCAACAAGCTCCTTTGGCATTCTCTAGTTTGTCCACCCAGTCATCCAAAATCCACGAATCTGGGTATATTCTTTTCTCTCATATCCTAGGAAAAAACAGGTTGCAAATCCTGTTGGCACTGGCCTGTGAATTTCTCAAGACTCTGACTTTTCCTCTCCATCCTTGGCCGCTTCCTGCAGCACTAGTATTTTATTTACTTTCCACTATCACTAGCATTCCTGCAGTAGTTGCCTACCTGTCTCCTTGTCCTCCAAATTGCCCTCTTCCTGCTGACCCACCTCACCACTATCTCATCTTAACTGCCACATCTGCACCCTCATAGGGGTTCTTTATTGCCTTTCAAAACTCCTGGCATGGTGCTGTAGGATCAGCACTGGATTGCTAACCACACGGTCAGTGGTTAAAACTCACCAGTCTTTCCTTAGAAACCCTATACAGGATTGTTATGAGTCAGAACCGTTTATACACTCATAATGCATGTTGTAAAAGGCCCCTGTGGCACTTTGAATCTTTGTATTAAGTAGACACTAAGGCAGAGTTAGGAGTTGTTGCTGTTAAGTGCTGTCAAGTCCGTTCCGACCCATAACAACCCTGTATAGGGTTTCCAAGGAGGAGCTTGTAAGCGTGAACCACTGACTAATAAACCTCTTCTATTAGAGTTAGAACAAAGCTATTTGAACTGCAAGTTTGGTGGTTCAAGCTTACCAGCTGCTCCTTGGAAACTCTATACAGGGTCACTGTGGGTCGGAATCAACTCGCCGGCACTTAACAACAACCAGAGTTAGAACCCCGGAACTTGTGGTTCAAACCCACCTTAAGGTATTGACACCAATTCTATACAGCCCTGATGACACTGTAGAATAAGCACTGGATTGTGAACTGCAAGGCCAGCAGTTCAAACCCACCAGGCACTCTTTGAGAGAAAGATGAGGCTTTCTACTCCTATAAATATTTATAGCCTCAGAAACCCTATACAGGGTTACTGAGTCAGAATTCACTTAAAGGCAGTGGGTCTGGTTTGGTTGTTTTTATTCAGTCCTTACCTTCCTTGACTTCTCAGCTGCATCTCACCCTTCTGAGTTTTTTCCCAAGAAGCCCTGGTAGGTAGCACAACAGTAATGTGCTCAGCTGTTAACCAAAAGGCCGGCAGTTCCAACCTGCCAGCTGCTCCATGGGAGAAAGATGTGGCAGTGTGCTTCCATGAAGACTCCAACCTTGGAAACCCTCCGAGGTCATTCGCCTCTGTACTAGGGAGTCACTGTGAGTTGGAATCAATTCGACAGCAATGAGACTACTCTCACATGTCCCCTTCACTCTGTGAGCAAACATCTTCCTGGTGATTTTCTTCCTTCCTCTCTGGTCATTTTGCTTCTCCCTCCTCTTCAGGCTCCTTCTCCTCTATAGTCAGAGAACAGTTTCTCCAGACCTGGACTCAGGTCCTTGTCTGCTCTCAGGCTATCCTCTCTACCTGCATGAGCTCATTTTTGCCCACATCATCATCACTACCTATAAGCAAATAAATCTAGTTCAGCTCTATCCTCTAAAGGTCCACACCAAAATATACAACTGTCATCTTAATATCATCCCACCAAAGTCATGATCATCAACCCCTCCAAACTGTTTTCTTCAGCATCCCCTATCTTGGTCAATGACACCATCCTCATCCATTAGGTAAGCCAGAAACCTAGGAGTCATCGTAATAGCAACTCCTCCTACCCCACTCCATCCAACCCACCCCTAAACCCTGTTGTGGGCTTCCTATTTCTCGAATCCATCTACCTCTTTGTTCTCCTTTCTCTCTCTCATCATTATCCTAATCCTTTCTACATCCAAATTCATTTACCCATTTCATTCTTTGCTTTCTTAAATCCAATCTCCACAGAACCAAACTATTAATTTCTAAATGGAAATCTAACTATGTCACCTCTTGCTTAAAATTCCACAACTACTCTTAGGATAACAAAACTTCAGACCATATTTCTTAGATAGGATTAGATATGGTTGCCAAGGGCACAAATCTCCTTCCCCTAGATGGCTTAAACAAGACACTTTATTTTCTTCTCAGTAAAACTGCAGAGGGAATTCAGGGCTGGAATAGCAGCTGCACCATCATCAGACACCCAAGTTCCTTTCCTTTTATAGCTCCATCTTGTCAGCAGTGCTGCCTCAAGGTCCAAAACCCATGACTGCATCAATCGCCTCCACTCTTCACCCCACAACTTGACATCACCTGCCAGGGTGTGGAATTTGGGGGATTCTCACTACAGCTGTACATGTTTAAATGTTGTCTGGTTATTTTGGAAAACAAAGGTATCTTGATACAAGCTCAAGAATTCCAAGGGCTATTTTCAGAAACCAGAAGCAGAAGATCAGAACTAGACTGAGGGAGCACTGCTTTGGACCTATAACACTGGCAGAAACCCGCCAAGTTTGGTCACATGGTGGTAGCAAGGATGCAAGCAGACACACACTAGAGGCATTAACACTATTACAGTTCACTTGTGCTGCCCATGAGAAATCCAGGGAGGGAATACTATGAGAATCTGACCACTCTCAGGGAAACATGTGGAAGAGTGCAACATAAATGATTCAAGAAGATTTTTGCTTAACTTGCTCTCAGAAAATGTTTATAATAAACTCTCTGGTTTGCACAGACTAGCTCGATGATATCTACAGATTAAGCCCTTCATGGAAAAACATGTTATTCTGAAATGTTTGTCTATCAACTAAACTTTTGAGGTCTATGACAATCTTATGACAGATTACACAAAATCTTGTAAATATCAGCCATCAGAAAAATTGCCTATTAGTTCCTGAGACTTCCAAGTTTAAGCACGCTGAAAAATCTAGTTAATCGGAGCAGTTTGAATTTTTACTTATGTGCTGCCTGGCTGTAACAGTTCTAGTCCTCGATAAAACTCACTTCTTTTCGGCTTCTAACAGAAAAAAAATTCTGTTTTCTGACCACCTGTATTCTTTTTTACTTTTATATGCAAAAATAAATTCTGGAAGGACACCTCAGAAACTAGTAACAGTGAGTCCCAGGAGTTAGGTAGATGGTGGAGATACAACAAAGATTTTTTTAAAAAATTCAAAACCATTTTATCTTTTTAAAACCATGTCAATGTGTTAGCTACTTTAAAAAATACATAAAAAACTTACTTATACCACCATTTAAAGCTGAGTGTGTATTCTCCAGGAGACTTTTAGTAGCATCACACAATCTTGAGAATAACCACGTACTATAAAACTTCACTAATGCAGATAATCTCAAAGACTTCCTGATTCAAATTTCTTCCTAACTGATATATATAAATATATATTTAATGCTGGGTTCCTACTTTCAAAATACATTCAGTAATTAGAACTGGCCTGTTACTTAATAGAAATCAAGGGCCTGCTCCAGCTAAGAACTTACAATTAGACAGTTTTATATAGTCTATTTATTATTATTAATGCTGCAGTTCTTCACTATACAGGTAGTTCCCAAGTTACAACTCAAAATTTTGACAAACTGCACTTCCTATCATGCGACCATCAGACTTTTATTGTACATCTTGTCAATAGTGATGTAAACTAAATACAATGCTGCTCTCTATAGTGTGCTGATGTTATCATTCTAGGGATGTTGTTGAGTGCCATTGAATCAGTTCCAATTCATAACAACCCTGTGTAGGGTTTCCAAAGAGCAGGTGGTGAGTTTGAACTGCCGACCTTGTGGTTCAAACAGACCTTGCGGTCCAGTGCTTTATCTTACAATGCCACACCAATAAATAAAGATTGTACTTATAAAGATACTGATAATAAAAGGCAATATTAAAAATGTTTTAAAAAAAATTCAACCAATGTCAGAATGGTTAGGTAAGATAGAACAGGGAAAGAAGGGGGTCTCAAGTCACTTTAGGTATAGGCTGTCTCAGCAAGAAACGAGCCAACCTCAGCAGTAAGAAATTTCTGAGGAAGAGGGGTGGGGAGAGAGGAAATTTATTTGCAAAAGAAAATAAGGTTATTTCAGTCTAGGAGTGAAGGCCCCTGGGACCATCATTGGAGAAGAGCGGAGATCGGGACCCCACCCAAAGAAGTAGTGAGGCCTGAGATGGAGACAGAGAGGATGACATGGAGAAATGGAGTGGTTGAGGACTTGAGATCCAGGGAGGGAAGGGAGCTGTGTGCTGAGGACAGTGGGGGGAGGAGGAGCCTGCGGGGTACACCCTTTGGTTGGGTGATGATGCATGGACGGGATGGTAACTATGGCAATGAAACGATGTATGATAGAATGAATGTAAAACTAATGTTCCCCCATGCAAATTATCACTCAATAAAAAATTAAAAATTAAAAAAAAAAGAAAATAAGGTTAGTTAATAACAGGCTGAAACCTGAAAAACAAGACTCAAGGAAACCATATATGGGCCAATTCCCAGATTAGCTCCTTTGGGCATTCAAACCAGGAGTATTATAGCTCACTCTTCTGACAAAGGGATAAGTAAAGAAGCAGCCAAACTGTTTTGGGGGGCTGCACCTCTTCTTTCACAAGGTGGTTGCCCATTCTTATTTCTCTGTAAGAATGTTTATGCTACTGAACCTATCTTTCATTTCCCTAAGTGTCTTGTCTCGTTAACCTCTTTTGTGCAGGGTAAGTGTGTTACGCCTTCCCTGTTCTTTGGAAGGGAAGCAGCACCATTCCAGGGACAACACTTCAACAGTGACAAGGACCAACTACGACAGTTGTGGAACAGAATCCTGTAGTAAGTCGGAGCTGTAAAGTGCCGTCAAGTCTCGGTTCCACAGGGTTCCAAGGAGCAGCTGGTGAGCTTGAACTGCCAACCTTGCAGTTCAAACAGCTTTACAGTCTAGTGAATTAACGCACAGCGCCATACCAGGACTCCATAGTATAAGTCGGAGACTACCTGTATAATGTGTTCTCAGGCTGCCTAAGAAATCATTTCTACATGATCCACCTGGCCCGCACTTTCATATCAACTGTAGGAATGTTTACTAGGACAATCATGTGTCAATTATGTCAGTTATTATAGTTAATGTTGTTGTTGTTGTTGTTAAGTGCTGTCGAGTCAGTTCCGACCCATAGCGACCCTGTACAGGGTTTCCGAGGGTATAAATCTTTACGGGAGTAGAAAGCCTCATCTTTCTCCAGCGGAGCAGCTGGTAGTTTCGAACTGCTGACCTTGCGGTTCACAGCCCGATTTGTAACCACTATGCTACCAGAGCTCCTTATAGTTAATGTTAGTTATTTTAAAATCAAGTTTCTTGAGGAAAAAAAAAACCACATAAAAAAGCTAAAAAGAGCTTTAAACAAGCTTTTGTCTTATAACCTTCTATCCTAAAGAGCAGGACTCCTACACCACAAGGTCAGTTTGAACCAGCGGCTACTTGGAAAGAGTCAGAACCCACTGGAAGACATTTAGCAACAACCTAAAGCGCTAGTGTCTCAGAAATCCCAAAGCTATAAATAAACAATTGCTGGAAGCATAATTACCTTCTTTCAGCTTCTTTTCCTTGAGGAGTTGAAGGGACAGATGATCCACATACTTTGGAGAATTCTTCTTCATCAGCATATATAGCAGTGCTATGTAAAGGAGGAGCTACAAAAGAGGTGAAATGTGAGACACTTAGACAATCTGGGGAAATGGCAGTACACCATCTTCTCATCTGTCAGTTATTCGCATTTACAACAATAGAAAAAACTCACTCGGACATTTTGCATATTAATGACACACATTGGGCAGTAAAGAACACCCACTGACTTTGAGTGTGAGAGGTGACAGTAAGACTAAGCTATTTATGCATAACAATCTGGTCTTTGGAAACTAACCCAGTGCTAACTGAAGGGGTGTATTTTGCACTTCCTCACAGTGGAGTACAAAATAATCTTTGCTTAAATGGCTCACAAAAACCAAAGCCAATTTTGCAGGCCATATCCCAAGTAAGCCATATCACCAAGAAATATGTGTCCATGCCCAGTGAAATAGACCTCCTGCGGAGCCTTTGCTGTGTATAGGACCTTAGGTGGACTCCTGAGCCCCATCCAGAACCTTCGGAGGTGGGACATTCCCACTAGAAAGGACAAGCAGACCAGCCTGGAACAGTTAAGAGTGACAGAAGATACATCTTCAAAGAAAGATCATCAGGAAAAACCCAAAACAAAAATGTCAGCATGACTGGCTACTATAAGAATAAGCAAGTTGTTCTCTGGGAAGCCAACAAGGCTAGCAATCAAGTGCCTTCAGGACAAACTCCCCTCTAAGACTGAAACTCAAAGGGAACACATGAGCAGGCATGTAAGCTTGCTGGTACCCATGTGGGTCTACTGGTGAGTGAAAGAGGGGGAAAGGCAGCAATGAAGAAATGGGCTGAGTTCAACCATGGTCCATAGACTCCCATGGACCTGGAGATGACAGAGGGTAGAGGAAGGACTAGTTGGTCCAAAATATGGTGAGACCTTGGGACACCTGAGCCTATGGACAAGGACACAGCCACAGAGGGCTAGAGCTGAGAGTGAAGCTGGTATGAATAGGGAAGGGCACTGGTTATCTAAAATGAGGGGGCAATAAAGGGATGAAGGTATTGGCTTACAAGGTTTCAAGGGGAAGCTTAGTTTAATAGTGTGTGGGGAAAGAAAGAGTCCCCACTGAATAGTTTTCATCTTGTCTAGATGGGTCTGGTTAAAAGAGATGGGATAAGATTCTTATGATTCAGTAATGAGTAATTATTATCATAACTAATTGTGACTCTCACATTTGTAAAGGTAGAAGTTTTGTAACAAAAACAGGGGAGTAGTTAATTTTATAGCCCAGAAACAAAAGGCCCTAAGATCATCAAGAGAGAAGAGCACAAGCAGAATGTGAGACCTTATCCAGAGAAGCAGACACACCCAGAGATGGAGGCAGAGATGGGGACATGGAGAGAGGGAGCAGCTGAAGACTGTAGATTTACGGGAAGTGAGGGACTAAGAGCTGGTGGCCAGGAGGCAGACTTGCAGAACATGCCTGAGTGTTTTGTTTTTTTTTTTAAAAAAAAAAGCTAAAGTGAACAGAGAGAAACATTGGTAACTGTTGGTACATGGAGGGGATTATAATCATTGTAATGAAACAAGGTGTATGATTTGTTGAATATAAAACTGATATCTGACCTGTAAACATTTACTCAATCCACAATAAAAACCTTAAAAAAAAGAAGTATGTGCCTGACTCCTGGTATAATGCAACAGGATCA